CTTTCCCAAAAATGCCCTGTTCACTGAGAGGGCTGCAGTAGCCTTTCCAAGCTGTTGGATTGTGTTGCTTCCCTGTTTATTCTCTCCCTGAACCTGCTGAAATCAAACACTACGACATTTGACAACAGGCAGCCAGTTGGGAGATTTGCCTGTGGTACAGAAACTGCATAGATTTAACCTGGGGTCAGATCAATATCCCTTATACATTTAAATTCAAGGATCACAGCTTTCCAAACTGACTAGTAGTTGTGTCAGCCTTAAGCCCATGCCACATGGAAGCACAGAGTGGTGAGAGTTCTGAAAGTCAAATTTACTAAAGCCAGGTCTGACAAGACACTAGTTACTTCCAGTTGATTTTGAAGAGCGATGTCATCCCAGGAAAGTGCAGGGTCAAATCCCAAACTGCTGTTTGCACACATTTTCCAGAGTGGGATTCATTCAGGACCACAGCAATGGAAGTTTGCTGTGGATGCACATTTTTTTTCACTGCTGACACATTTCTCTGCCTAAGTGGTGGAAAGCTGCACACAGAGATGCATAGAGAAAATGTTCTCTGATGGAGGGGATACTGAAGCCAAAAGAAAGGCTTCCACTGAGGTTTGAATCTGGGGATCTTGTCTCAGGTGGCCACATTAATGACATGTATATAATCCTTTGATAGTAATCATTTTGCTCATTAAAACCGTATCTGTGGAACTGGAAATAGCTTGGAAATGCTGTGGGTGTGAGTAGGAGTCATTATCTCATCATACTACTCTCTTAAAAATCAGGAGAAGCTGCAGAATTGTGTCAACAAGCAACTGAAAATACACATAAATAAAAAGATTTCATCAGATCATTATGTATAAATAAAATGTATTAGTCTGTCTCAGGAGTTGTTATGGGATCTGGTTGATTTTAACAATTCTGCTGGGGGTGTGAAAGAGGCAGTAAGGCACCCTGTTAATTAATGCAGCTATTAATAATTGAGTAATCAATTAATAATTGAGTACATTTGCAGATGATGGGTAAAGGATGGGAATATTCAGAGTTTTGGTAGTACTGAGGGATTAAGTCCAGATTAAAACACATTTAGAAAATAAGTAATGCAGGGAAACTTCCCTGAAAAATATGCACACAGGGCAAAATGAGCACGGATTCTGTGCTCCTGTCTTTGGTAAAAATATTCTCCAGCCTCCATTGCCTGTGGGCCTTTCACACGAACCATGGGCTGATGGCCTTCACAAGGTAACACCTGGGAGTTCAGGTGTACATCCTCCTCCTGCTCTCTCCCTACCTCTAAGTGTAATAAAGGCACTGTTGCATCTGAAAAACTCGTGTTACTGGGCACATAGGTTACCCAGGATAAGAAATGGAGGAATTTACCTACAAAGGGTAGGTCACAAACAATACTGGCTTATATTTTCTCTTCAAAAGCAAAATAATCAGACCAGACGGGGAACAGAGAGACCATCTGTGCCTAATTAAAGGGTGAGACTGCATAGCAGCAACAGATGTTATATTATTGTAGTCAGAAGAGTTTACTGCTAACAGTGGTAAATATTGTGCATGGTGAATTGGGTATTTCCAAGCAGTAATTTAACAGACATACTTCCACACAGGCTACCCTTTTCTTCCTGGAAAATGGAAGGCTCTGAGTGTCACACAAAGCTTGAACTGCAGGTGAAGTCTAGATAGCAAAGCTGAGAAGGATGAGGACTGAAAATCCATCACAAAGAAAGGTACCTTGATCAAAAAAATTGGGCAGGTCTGCCTGAGGAAGATGTGACAGAAAAGACTAACATTCCTGCAGCTTCACTCAGCTTCACTGAAAGCCCTCTTTAAACTTGGGATAACCACTGTGAGAGTGTTCATCTGAGTGGATTCTCTACCTGATGGCATTTGAACACAGAGTGACCCAGGGAGATTTCTTCTCCTGAATAACTTCTGAAAGCTCTTTAAAACTACCCTGCACCGAGAGTCCAAAGGAGAAGCTGCAGGAAATGGAGCAGCAGAGTCTCTCAGTGGCCATGGGTTTCTCCTGGCCACAGAGACGTGGACACACTTTAAGTTGCCTGATAATTACAAGGCCACAATCAGTTATATCCATGCTATGGCTTCAAACAAGCCCATCCTTCCCTTTTGTTGCCTCCTATTTGCACTGTTCTGATGAGATGAGCAGTTACACACGCTCCTCACCAAGACATTTTGCTCTTCATTTGTTTGCCTGTTTGTTTTGATCAGGATTTTCACTTTATATTTGGAGCGGCCCAAAGGGCTGTGAAATAATGCACTGTATGTGCAGAAATTCCTCCTCTGCTTACTGTTGGTTTTTTTCCTTTCTTTTTCCGAGATTTTAGCCGGTTTTCATTGCTAAGGCGAGGAGTGACAATAGCTCACAGGTTTTCTTACCTCTGTGTTTCTGCTTGCACTGCTGTTCTCCTGGTCCCTACGGAGAGCTTTCCACGCACCTCTCTTGGAACAGCCACTCTCTGCTTCGGAGACACAACTTACAGAGAGGGGGAGCTTGGTGGGTAGACTTACAGGTAGGATGCTGATAAAAAAGGGAGCAGATAAAGTCTGGCTTTGTCTGAAAGAGATAAGTTAGAAACTGAGGGTGAATGAACACACCTGATCAGCGATCTACAGTTACAGCAGCCGATGGGAAGCAGTGCCAGGAGAATCCAGAGGTTGCCATAGAAATGTAACAAAGGATGCAACCCTCGGGGGCTGCACCTGAGCCAGGCACCAAACACGCAGGAATTCTCAGTGAATGAAACTCTCAAGTTCAAGAGAAAAGCGGAAAGCACATCTACAGATAGAGATAACTGAGCTGTCTGTCCCGCCTGGGACACCACGGGAGATCCCATCTGCACATCGGCCGCGATTGCCGCTGCAAAACCATCACAGCCGCTTTCCCAGCCTTGTTTGGGTGAAATACATAAACCTCAGGAGGGCTTGCAGAGCATCAGTGTACATCTGCTGGCTTCTCTGGTTCCTGCTGCTGGGAAATCTAGAAACACATTATCGTTGTTGGACCTCAGCAAGCGTTTTCAGCCGCTTGTTATGGAAATTCTGTGTAACAACAGCCTGATGCACTCGGCTTCGGGATGGCATTTTCTGACTGGTTTTCAGTGACTCACAGTTTTTAAAAAGGTATTTCCTGGGTGGAGGGAGGGTGTACAGAATGGTTCTATTTTAAGAAGACCCTTAACTCTGAATATCCTTCATCAAACGAGTCACTGGAGGAGAGGGTGCCATGTAACCTGTCTGCAATCTCTTTCTAAACCCATTTCTGCCCGCCCTCCCACATTCTGAAAGGGGAAGAACTGTGTCTGAATTCACTTAAAATTCAGCAAATGAGAAAAAGAAGAAAACATTTGAAGAGGTCAGACTTTTTTTCCCCACAAAGTTTACCATTTGCAATTTTATTCAAGATGATGTTATCATTTCAAATTTGATTTCTATATAGGAGGGATAAATTACCTGAAATTAAATTTTAAAAATGAAACTCCAAAATTATTATTTTTTTTTCCAATTTCAGCCTATCCTGAAACAGTTGTCCTGTTTTGATTTGCTTCAGTTTAGGCACCAAATTTAAAAAACAAAACAAAACAAAACACAACAAAAAAAAATAATAAAAACACCACACTATTATGTCAAAATCTTTCATAATACAAAAGATGTCATAGAAGAAAAATCTTTCCATCTACAAGAACGATGAAATCTTAGGTTTCAGAAATATATAAAATATGATTGTAACTTTAAAGAGTAATCCTATAGAATGCCTGAAACTGGAGCACTTCTTTTGGTTTGTATTTTTGAGAGTATTGTTGAGAAGACAAAGTGGAAAGAAAACCTTTTACCCTGCATATAAATTCCAAGATGTGTAAGAGACAGAGCCCACAGCAAAAGAAACAGATTTTTTAAAGAAAGTTTAATTTTCATTCATGACAGAACAAAGTTATCCATTAAATGCTTGTAGGTGACAGCCTGGTTAGCGAATATGTTTATCTTCCAATGAAATGCAGTTCTGCAAAATATTTTACTTTCCAGTAAATCTCAACAGCAGCGATTTTTGTTACTTTAACGCGCAGCGTACACGAAAATGCCACATGATTTACAGGGCTTCGTTCCATTCTCACTCCTCAGCTTCACCCTGGTGGTTCAGTGGCGTGATTCCTCTGACACTGGCTGACTTCCCAGCCTAAGTGAGAGGAGAATAAAACATGAGGGGTTTGTTTGGGCTGTTTTGGGGTGGGGTTTTTTTGTGTGTTCAGGACAACGAACAACAAGGAGCTTCCCTGGTTGTAGCAGCTTCAGTCATTCCGCTGCACGTGTCGTGGCCTCCCTGCTCGCCAGCACATGCATTCAAGCTCCTACTAAGCAAAACACAAGACATCTGCGGGTGCAAGTGCACAGGGGTTTCAATTCCTTGTGTTCCCAGGTCTCTGTGGCCTCGCCAGTGGCCCTGCCCGCCCTGCAGGGGTAGCACCTCGTGGCACAGTGCGTGTGTCAGGAAGGCACAATGACTCCTTGAGGCTCCACAGGTTTGCCAACCACCCGCTGGCAGCTACAAGCAACGAGGCCATGAGCTGTGTGCACTTCTCCATGGTCAGTCAGACCTGCTCAGAGGTGGATATATGAGAGCAGGAGCGTCCCCATCCCCATGGGGTGTCTGCAGGGAGAGGGATGGCTGCGGTCCTACAGCGGGGACTGCACGAGCCGGGAGAATTCCTGCACCTCTACCCAAGTCACATCACCACAAAAACCAGCTACAGCCACAATATGGCCCTTATCTCGCACTGAGAGAGTCTGGAAATGCTGCAGCCCAGACAGCAGATAAAATACAGCAGAGTCCCTTGCACATGGAGTTTCCAAGGAAGCAAAACAAGCCTCCTTTCCTGCTCCCTGTCCCTGGCTTGACTGCCTGTCCCTCCCTTGCTCCGGGTTCGGAATCACATCACGCAGTAAGCAGGTGCTGCAGAGGTAAGCACAGCGTGTTCCCCTTCCCCAGGGAGTCACACCACAGTGTGCTGGGAGCTAAAGGAGGTGAAGCTGCCTTTGGGGCTCCTGTTTAACTGGGAGAAGCTGGCAGCCCGGCTCCTTCTGCTCTTGGTCCCACTTCTGCGTTTCCTCTTGTCGCGTGCCATAAAGCTCTCTATCAGCTTCAGTTTCTCGTGCTCCTCCTTCAGGAAGAAGTCAACAAGCACGGTCTTCTCCTTCTTGATCTGCTGGCTGATGTCCTTGGGGATGTCAGGGATCATCCAGTCGACCAGAACACTGAGGAACATCACCAGGTTCTGCAAACACAGCAACAGATGTGATGCAATCCATGAAAAATCCAAAACACTCTCACTGGAGCAAAGCCAAACCTTTGTTACAGCTATGAGACAGGTATCAAACATATTTTGCTGATGGTGTGTGGTAGTAAGCACTTGAGTAAAGCTTTATTTTCAAGAAATAGCTCAGGTCTGTGCTAAGCTACCCCTCAGTGGAGTGGCTGTATTGAACATGTGCTTCTGTCAGGTTTGAAATGGGAAAGGACATGGATTCATCAAATGATTCATGGCCTTAGGAACTAGAACAGCCTTATTCTTTACAGGCATCCATAGGAGCTCAGTTCTCAGCACCCAGTTCCTTGAGACTGAGCTCAGAATCCATTAATATAAGGGCATCCTCCAACACAGACCAGACCCACATGCTTCCAGTGTGGCCCGAGCAGACTGCAGACAACTTTCATGGTCATTCTGTCCTCAAATCCTTCTCTCTGAGGACAAACATGGTTGTTTTTAAACTACCACAGCCTGCAAGCCACAACCCCAGACCTCAGCTGTCGAGGTCATTACAGGTGGTGCTCATAACACCAAGCAGGAAGCAGACTGGGCGAAAAGTTTTGCCTGCTTATGAAATTTATAGATAAAGGATGCCATCATGGTAATTCTTTGAAAACTGCTGTGTTGTGTAATGCCTCAAAATGTGTGAGAATGTCTTGCAGCTGACAAGGCTGCAAGAATGAACTCTCTGTCCCCAGTCCAGACAATGGAGCTAATTAACCAGGGAATGTGCTCTGGCAGAACAGGCAGGGTGTTTGAAGCCCAGCAGAACCCGTCGGGTTCAACTGTTTTGCAGCCAGTGGTGGAAAATTACTGAAGGCACAGCAAAGCAGCAGAAGAGGGCAACACAAAGCAGGCAAGATTCACAGTAACACTTAGGAGCACTTGGCAGGTGAGGTGGAAACACAGGCAGATTTCCACAAGAGGGGTGGACCCTGTGGAAGGATCCCAGGTTAAGGAGGAGAGGAGAAGGAAGCCATCCAGAAGGCAAGTCATAATAGCAAATCCCTTGCTAATGAAATCTTCACACTGAGGAGAATTTACTGTGCTCACTTCAAGGAAGAAGAAAAAGACCTTGGAGGACTTATCACTCCTGAGAGTATAAAGGTTGAGAGAGTCCACCTCAACATTCATGAGCCTAGGTTTTTTAGGAAAACCCCTGCTAGTGCCACGGGTTAATGCAAGCTGTGGCACTCCCTTCCATGCAGGAAGAAGAAACCCCTGCTGAGGAAGTTCCAGTGTGCTCCGAAGGGAAAACCTGAGCTGACACCTCAGCAGGCTGGGTGTATGCCAAGAGAAAAGCTCTGATGGACATGGGCTGCTCTGGCACGTGCATTTCAATCCGTTTTTTTGCTATAATTCGGCAGTAAATTGTATCAACTCACCAGACTTACCTGAAATAGAATAACGAAAGCCAAGCGAGCAGACAAGACCGCCCAGTACTGCTTGGAAAACTCGTACTGGTTTGGGGACCAGGGTGGTTCTCTGTAGTCTTTGAACCTGTCAGTGGAGACAGCTCAGTTATCACACAGTTTCAGCAATTTCCCCCAGCACCAATTGCTTTGATTAACGTGATTTTAGAACCAGAAGACCTAAAGAATCAAACCCTCCAGATGTTCCCACTTCAACCCTGATTATGAAATACAACTCCAGAATTAGAGCTGGACAACCTCCACTGAATTTAACAAGCTCAGGCTGGTTTTCACAGTTGTAACCAAAATCAGAACGTTGCTCTAACATTGGACATGTCCAGATTTTACAGGATTGACAAATGTCCCCTTTTTATTCCTAATGTCGAATCGACCTCAGTGTGCAGGGAATAAAGTGCTGAAGTGAAAGCAGAGAGACAGTACAAGGCATTTTCAGCAGGAGATAAGCCTGCATTCATCTCACCTAAACCTTGATTCATTCAGGGAATAATTCAGCCCACATAAAATGTGACTCTCACTTTGGTGGTTCCTGTCGTTGCATTAATGAAAGGGGGAGCCATGGGAAAGGCACTTCCTAAATTAACTGTCTAGCCTTAGACAGGATAAAACAGAGCCTTAGTGGTTTAGTGTAAAGACTGTTGCTTTTAGTATTACCATCAATCATTTGGAAGTAAACAACAGGCTAATAAAAATCACAGATGCTCCTAAATTGGCAAGTTTTGCATATAGCAGGAAACACAGAAAGCAATAAGGAATGGACACAGGAAACACGACGAGAATAATACGGGGAAATGGAAAATAATTAAAAATAAAACAATTGAAGGATCCTCAAAAGGATAGAGTCTGAAAGAAAATGCAGTGAACATGGCCTAGAGCTTGCAGTGTCCAGCAGGTTAGCACAGGTTTGAAATATGGCAGCAGGACAGGTTGACTTGTGGGTGTATGAACACGAGTCACTATGCTGCTGGGGGGGGGGAAATTCAGTCTTTCTCTGAACAGTTCAGGTAAAACCACACCTGGAATGCTGCATTCAGCCACTCAGCTGTGCAGATTTCAAAGGGAAAAATAAATAAATTAAAAAAAAAAAAAAAAAAAAAAGGAAAAAAAAAAAGGAAACCGAAATAAAAAATAGCAACAAATTGAAGTTAGTTCAGCAAAACAATCCAAGGGCTGAGGAGACTGACTCACCAGAAAAGATTAAAGAGGAGCACATGTATTGCTCCACTTTGGTAAGCAACAGCCACAGTTGGACATGATAACCATGCACAAATTGTGCCCTTAGGACTGAAAGGGATAATTTAGTGCTGTTCCCAGTGTTTGACTAGGAGTAATGGGATGAAATTAAGAAAGGGAAAATCTGTTTTGAATACCACAAAACCCGTCCTGACAGTAAGATTCATTAGGCTGTGGGAAAGCCTCCATTGGGGGATAATGGAGAAAGTTCATATATAACATCTGTCAGCTTCAGTTTGCAGGTGTGCTTCCCAAAATTACCTTCAGGTTCTATCCACATGGCTTTGCATGTTAAATTACACATCTACAATCCGTGCATCCCCTACATCCTGCCACTCCCCACCCCCAAGTCTGAAATGCTGGATGTAATTCCAGGCTGCAGCTTCTGCAGACACGAGGCACAACCCGCAGTGGGGAGAGGGGGTGGGAGAGGAGGAGGAAACAATTTTAAACTGGGGGCTGTGTTAATTTAGGCAAGCACTACCTGGGCTGTGTTAGCCCCTGCTTTGCTTGCTTTGTGCAGTGGTTGAAGCACAGCACAGCAGCTGAGCCTCTCCATGCTGTCTTACCCAGGACTCCTGTGCTGTGCCTGCACTGGGAGATCCCCCCTCTGGAACCTTTCTGGACGCTGTGGATTCCCACACGTTGCTCAAATCTGTGTCCAAGCCCTGCAGCCAGGGCCAGAGTCAGCTCCCTCGAATTTAATCTGCTTGAACATCAAAGCCAAGGAAAACCACTGAGTTTGTTGTGGATTTTGCCTAGCGCTATAAATCAATCCCAGGTCTTGAAAAGCGGCCCAGGTTCACCTGGAAGGGTCACCAACTGTGGGGGGTTTTTCCATTTGATGTATTCAGAGCTTCACAAGCTATGTAAGTGTTGCAGGACATCAGACCCCTTGGAAATTTCACCTGGCCCAGCTGGAAATCACAGGGCTTGTGATGCCTGAATCTACATTCAGCAGAACACCAGCAAATGATTTACAGGGAAGGGATATTTTGCCAGAGCTACAGATGAGGTAGCTGGGCCTCCTCCCCACCTCCCTTTTTAATTATTCTGTGTCACATGGGACTTCAGAGTGCAATAAGCTGGGCCTTTTCTAACCACTGTATTCCACAGGTAGTTTCTTTTTTTACAAAGATCATCTTTTCAGTTCAAGAAGTGTTTGGACAATGCTCTCAGGCATTGAGAGTCAGGTGTGATTCCTGGGGTGGTCCAGGAGCTGGATTTCATGATCCCTGTGGGTCCCTTCCAATTGAGGATATTCTCTGTTATTCTATGATTCCCTCACCAGTTCTTCATTCCTAAAATATTTGATTCAGCAGGTATGATAGGAACAGCAAACAATCAATGCTGCAAAGACTGCTGTGTTTCAAAAGTAGTAAGCAACTCTAATTCCATGGACAAAGGACAAGAACATGAAGTGGTCAACATGGTTGAAGAATGAAGTACAGGAAAAATTCTGAGGGAAAATAGAAAAATGCACACTGAAAGTAGAGAAAAGCTGGGGAAGTGACAATGGGTGGAGAAAACCACACAATACTTGGACAAGAGTGAACTGAACCCAGAGCTAAGAGAAAGATGCTATTGTATTTCAGAAGTATATTGTGTGGGAAAAAAGAAAGACTGGTAAAAAAAGGTATCAAATTGTACATGTAGGTGGAACTGCAAATCAGTCCAAATATGCTCATCTGTTTAATTTCCTTTTTCAGCTGGTCTTTGAGGGAAACCTCTTGAATCACAAGGAATTAATTCTTCAGCAATGTAGGAGTATATAAAATTTAGTCAGGGGAAAATCTTAGAATCCAGTACTGGACATGAGGAGTAGATGAGATGAATCCCAGGACACTAAGAAAATTAATTAATTTAAAGACACTTTTATAAATTCACTGAATATCAGAGCCATGTTAAAGGAAAAGTCCCTTTTATGAGTCCATATCTGCTGCTTTCTTCTTTTCAGCTTTTATGTACTCCATTATCACACCAGATTATAAGGATTAAAAGGGCTATAAACCAATAAAAACGTCACATATCTTAGCGAGCCTTGCTTTTAATTTGCCTTCAGCTGCACAAACGCCATTTCTCTCCCGAAAAAATAAGATTCATTACAACTAACGCTGTGGTTCAGAACGTTGTTGCAGCAATGGTTATTTGGCAGCAGTGTCAAGGAGTTCACAGCATGAAAATGCTGCTCAAAACATTCAGAGAATGTATCCTGTGTGTTGGGTGGCAGAGCTGTTTCTGGCCTGGAAAGGTTTTTTTTAAAGACACCTTAATCTCTGGCAATGCCCTCAAGGAGCAAAACTCAGGCTCATTGTAACCACATTTATCTCCAGAGGTCACAGAAATCTAAGAATAAGAGAGGTCAGCTTGTTCCCAACATATTTGCCAGAAAAAGAAATACAGATTTTATTTCCAGCTTGAGGGGCAGTGTTTGTTGCCTGTCCCTTGGGACACGAGCCAGATACCCCATATTTTATCACAGTGATAGCTGAGATTTTGATAAGATTTGAAAAGAGGAGGATGGCAATGAGAAACAGTGCATGTGGATGTTGACATCTTCTCCTAATTGTTTCCTGATAACAGAACAGAAATGCTCTCACAGTACTTTCCCATTCACATTAGCACATGATCAAACACTCACTAATTTTTTTCTTCTTCTCAGTGGCACGGACTTGATATTATCAGGCAGGAAGCACAATTATGCCTAGTGTAGGTTGTTCCTTTCTCCCTGTATTTGGGCTCTGTTGAGTAATTTGGCTGTATTTGGCCATGCTAACATGAGGAGAGCATTTCATCACACACAGAGTTCCAAATACAGTGGCACTCATGAGCAGAGGCTGACACAGGGTAAATGGTAGCACAGAGAAAGTAGCACAGCCACAGTGAAGGGGATCAAGATGTTTGCTGAGGGAAAAAAAACATTGGCTAGTTTGGGGAAACAAATTAAAAAGTGCTGGGAACTGAGAGTGGAAAAGCATCTCACAGTCCTACAAGTCCATCAGAGAGCAGAGGCCTTAGCTGTGCACTCTCCTACCCTCTGCTGTAGTCGAGGTGAGAAGGCAGGGACACCCCAAAGGCAACCCCAAGAGCAGTGCTGGGGTCACAGGGCCAGATTTCTCTCCCTGTTTCTTCTGCTTCCAGTGAAGGGACTGAGATGTGTGATTTCTGTGGGTTGTAATTGGGTGAGATAAATGCCCTGCTTAAAACCAGTGGGATCCTAAGTGAGGGATATATTAGGCAACAAAACAAGGGAGGCCAATTAAAGGCCAGTGCGTAGTAAATCTCGTGTAAATTAAGGCTCTCCTTAAAGAAATGGAAGAGGAACTTCTGTGATGATTTTGTGCCATTGCAGAGACCGAGCAGAGTGTGATTTCAAGGGGGTCCAAAAGGAAGGTGAGGCAGGCTGTTGAATATAGCACTGACCCAATTTCGAGCAGCCTTGGGTTGCACTGCCTTAAACCAGCTCCTTGAATTTCTGCATATTCTTATTAAAAAAAAAAAAAAAAAGGTTTTTTTTAAAGCCCTGGAACCACCTTAGTGATTTCTCCTGCAAACTGGAACCATTCCATAGGTATCTGACATTTTAGACGTCTTTTAAAGGAAATTGAGCCTTGTTTCCCCAGTCTGAAAAGATGAATCTGAAATACAGCGAGTGGTGCAGGTTTTAAAGGTGGGCATAATATGTTGAAAACTCAGATCTCATCAAGCAAAGGCTGAATTTAATAAAGAAAAAGAAAGCCTGGTTCTAATTACTGGGTGTCCTCTTTAAAAAAATTAATTCTTTTTAATGAAAGCTTTGTCTTTCAATAAATAAAATATTTTTTTCATTTGAGTAAGTCTGCCTAAATCGCCTATTTTGCCTTTTGCACCAGAAAAACCCTTTTGAGAACCTTCTAACACAGCGGGAATACTCCAAAAGCTGTACTTTTAAAACCACCTTTACAAAGGCTCAACGAAGATCACCGAATAGGTGGCCACATAACTAAATATTCCCAGTTCCCACTTTGAAAAGAGGTGCTTTACCTGCAGAATGAAACATCCTGTGCAAACAGGGAGTTTGCTGGCTGTGTCCCAGGTTTGAGGTGACTGACATTGAAGTAGGAGAGCGTGTGGTTGACGAAGCCGTGCAGGGTTCCGTTCTGGCTGTACGCGTACTGGTACACGAGGCGCGGAATGAAATCGGATGTGACGGCAATCACGAAAGCCTGAGAGACAGAAAAACCCCACCCAACCAAACAACAGCATATCAGTAAGGATTCCTCTGATTTGTCCTCCCTGGGAGCAGGGCCAGAGGAGGCCAACCCAAAGCACTCTGTGATTATTTAAAACTGCATTTTACTTAATAATAATTTCCCGTATCAATATTGTTCAGATGAAGAGACATAACTGGGCATTCAATATTTTTTACAAAGGGGTATGCACATGTTTACATTTCTGTCAAGAAAAAAAAATCTTACTGATGTTTTAATGGAATCCCCAGAAAATAAACATTTTCAGAGGGTTTTTTTTTTGACACAAAAGATAACCAAGAATAACAAATCAGCAAAGTGTATTCAGGTAAATACAAGAGGCTCTAGAGTTTTGCTCATCCAGCACAGAGTAGTGCTGGACAACTGCAATTTATGCCTGCCATGATAATATCCCTTCAGCAGTGAAAATCATCTGACTTTGACATCTTTGATATTTTATGGTTGGACTTCATGACCTTAAAGGTTTTTTGCGGTCTAAATTATTCTATAGGTTTATGATCTGTGGGCTAAACACCCACTAGTTAGTACCACCATTAAACTTCTAGGGCATGAGTTTTTTTTATCATAAAGCATATACAGGAAAATTTTACTTAAGAACAATAAACATTAAACAATAAACGTTAAACATTAAACAATATTTTGCTTATAGAAAAAGAAACTGAATGTATCTGTATACCAGACACACATTATATTCAAGTAGTTGGGGTTTTTTCTGTGAAAGAATGTCTTTTCCAATTTGGACTTATTCTTTGCTCCTAGAATCCAAGATGTAATATTTACATTGTTTTTCTTCAGACCAAGAGGAAATCTTGCACTGGCAGAGTAACAAGAAAAAGCCATGGATATGAATGGGAAGTGGATCTTTATTTATTATGTGGAGTGTTGCCTGCTTTACCTCCCCTTCTCAGGTTATTCTTATATGGATTATTCTTCCTGACCTACATAACGTGAGGATGGAGAGAAGGGGATGAGGGAATGGTAGTTTGTAATGAAACCATGTTTTGTAATTCAACAAGAATGAACAGAATAATTTAGACGTCACAGAATGAGCTAGGTTGGAAAAGACCTCTGAGATCATCAAGTCCAACTTATTTTCTGGGCAAATAGAGAAAATTACACTTCACTTTTAAATTATGTTGAGGGGACAATATAAGCTCCAAGGATCATGGTTAGAAACCCAGTATAACCAAATACTTACATTAATGATAACTGAAAGCTTTCCAATACCACTCAAAATGTCATACCAAATTCCTGTAAAAGAAAAACACAACTGGTTCATGGATTTGCTATAATTTTTTTTTTTAGTGTTTTGTTTTTAATTCCACTTTTTGCATTATCTTCACTGCAAAGTTCTTTTTTCATTGCTTACCTATATCTTTTGCTCTTACTGTGTCCGGCCTCCTCAGTTCAGTAACAAACTTCTTTGCATCGAGACGGACTTCTATGATGTTGTTCAGGAGAGCAAAGAGAGGTGCCAGAGGGAAGGAGGCAACAAAGAGCGTGACAAAGCCAAACTGGATAACTGGAAAAGAAATATTTGTGGTAATTTCTGAAGGGAGCAGCTGACAGCAAATTGTTGACGAGCCTTGTGCCTCACGAACCCCATAAAATTCCACTTCCCAGTTTGGTCCCAGTAATAAATATCACAAAGCAAGGCTATGAAAGAGAGAAAGGTTTGTCACTTTGCTTCCTGAATGTTTCTAATAATGCTTCAAGTCACCAGCACAAGTACAAGCCAAAGGAAATAATAAATTTAATAAAGGACAAAGGGTTCAGTATGCATTCTTCTGCATTTATACATAATTAACTGATTCAGACTGTGCTCTTCTTCCCTGCTTTTTTCCTGTAAAGGAAATGATGCACAACCAAGCAAGAGAAAAAAAACCCCTACAAGGTGCCACTATTTCTTCCCAGCTTTCTTTGAAAAACTTAGTGGCAATCTGTCAAAAGCAGGAACAGAATAGGTATCTCTGTGGATGCAACGAGCCCGTGGTGTTCAACAGCACTTCCATCCCTCCTTGTGTCACTGATATCCTCCAAATCTGCAAATCTTCCTCTTTCAATCTTAGCAACTGAATATCACACATATATATTCCTTGTGAGAAAGGAAGTGATAGTCCAGTGGTCCTAAAGAGCAAGCAATGAAGCCCATTCCTCCTGAGTTCTTCATGCTTGCCAGAACAGATACACAAATAATTAATCCTGTATTCCTCCACAGGGAGGAAAAAACTGACCCACTCACCCACAGGAAACCCTCTCACTTGGCGGTGGATGGCACATTTTGTGTCCTGTTCCCAGCATGAAACTAGAAGTTTTCATGCAGACAAAATTCTCCAGTAAGCAGGTAAGGAACCAATGTCACCCTGCCAAAAGCACAATGCATGACACAACTGTGTTTTTCTGACAAGTCTCGGTGCTCTTGAGGTGTTTGGAATAGTCTGGTGGAAAATGCTGTTCCTCCAAGCAACCTTCTTCAGTTTTTGGGTGGGCAGAATATCCTTAATTCCTGTCTCTTTCAGTGGCGCTCAGGATCAGCCTCACCTGGATAAATCTCAGTTGGGTACAGCTGGAATATGAAAGGCAGTTTACTCTTTTCTTATTTCTCTGAGGGGGTGGGGAATTAACAAATTGTCTAAAAATCTGTCTTTCATGGAAGACAGGACGCATCCATTCACAGTAGTGAAAGTTACTCATGAGACTGGATCACTTCCTTGTTTAAATTAATACTTCAGAGAAGTGAGAGAGGTTTATTACTCCAGAAAATTAATGAGAAGTAGGAGAAGAAAGGGACCAAAATTTGTGCTGCTTGAATGCAGAGGCAGTGATCCCATTAAGATTAAACTAATAAATCTGACTGTGATCTACATTTCAGAATTAAAAAAATAGTAGTATAGGAAAAGGGTTGGTGTGTACGAGGCTGTATTTACTGTGGCTTCTTTTTTGGTAAGTAAAAGTTTTGTATAAGTCCTCTCCCCACTGTGGGAGGAATCTGTTGCAGGGTTTTTGTGGAAATAGAGAGAACTATAAACAGCACAACATTTTAGTTTAAAATAATTTGCTTCAGCACTGTTGTCACAACCTACTACTGAGACAGCTTTCTCCAGGATCTTCTCTCACATGCATCTTTTTTGTATGCAGATTTTAAGTCTTCTGATATTCCTCCTGTTGCTCTTCTCAAAGACAATATATTTGCACAGTAAAGTATTATCTCTGTATATTTGTTATTGTTTGGTGTGGTTTTATATTTACATGTTTATATATTATATATTATTTATATATAAAGTATATTATTATTGTTTTGCTCTGAAATAAATTGTATATCCCAACATAGGCTAAGATGGAGCTTTTTCAAAGCATGCAAACATCCTACCCTTGAAATCATACTTTCCTGAATATTTTATCTTCAGAGTCAGGAAAAGGAATTAACAAGGAAATAAAAACAGATGTTAGAGTAATGTCCCCAAAAACTGTGAAATGCTGAGAAAAATACATAGCACCAAAATATGCCTTTTTCTTTTGAAGTGAATTTAGCAGGAATAGAGCTGGGAGGATTCTGTTAAAAAAAATAAAAAATAAAAAAAATCAATGTATTTGCAATGCCTTAAGAATAAACCCCCCACACATTTGCTTTGAAGTTGCTCACAGGCCCTTTATTCATTACCTGGGAAAATGCAGTTTAATTTTAATTCAAGTTCATGAAAAAATGTTCAAGGTATGCAAAGGACTTCTGGATAATTGTGCAAATACGTCCTCACAGAAAACGCTGCACCAGATGTGTTTGTGTGGCCACCTTGAAATCTCTTCAACCTCCCAGACTCCCTCTTATGAAAGTGTAAAAGATGCAAAAAGCAGCAACAAAACCCAACGAAACCCAGAATCCCAAACCCAAAACAAGGCACACCATAATTCAGATGGACTTGTTTAGTAATCCCAAACAAGCACTGAATGCCTTACAATTTACAGGTACAGGAGGGCACTGAGTGTGATCAGTGTTTCTAGAAACAAGGCTGAATGGATTAAGAAGAGAAGAATCCCTGGAGTTCTGTGGGTGCCTGTCCAATCCCAGCAGGAACATTTGCAGCACGTTTAGGGCACTCACAAACACTGTTTCACCAAGGACAGCTGACACAAAAACATCCCTTTTTTTGGCTGGAGAACCCGATGGCAACCTGGAAATACCCTTTTTGCCTTCTCTCTTGAGCCACAGGGTCTCCATACAAAGCTCTTTTAGTGTTCCTGTTCAGGGAAGTCAAGGACATAGGAAACGATGCCAAAGCAGGACACTAAATGTGCTGTCAGTGAGTGACACAGAGCCTGTCTCTGACGAGAGAAAGAACCCAAACCACACATCACAAACCCAACCCCTTATTGTTGGTGCCTTCACTGGCTGACTCGAGCAGGACAGAGGCCAAGGGCTCAGAGCCAGCCCACGAGGTTCTCAACACCTGATGCCACATCTGCAACGTCTCATCCAGGCCTGGGCCCTGAGACAAAAAGCTATAAAAGACAAACAGCATCAAAAGAAGTCTCTCAGACCACAGCCCTTCCCAGGTGTCCACTCTGCCCAGAAGCTGTTTCCCAACAACAGCACATTCTGTCCCTCTAACTCTTGGCATCCAAAGTCTGATTAGGAGCAGAAATCAAGGTTTTTAAATTATGGATCTGGAGAGCACTAGTTATGTAAGGGATGAAGAATCAGTCCCCTGCACAAAACCTTCCACCAGCCAGGTTCCACAAGATTTACACACTGAGGAAGGAGTGTGAGTAACCCTAGGATCCACTGTGAGTAACCCCAGCATCTTTTACATCAAAACCTAACCTAAGGAGAGGTGATTTTTTTGTGATTGCATTGCTTTTTTTCTTACCCCTGTATCAATAATATCTGTCATAGGATCACCTGTGGCTGGAAATAAACAACGAAAGAATCACTCCTGTGCTAAGGAACTTTCCAAGTTCTAAGAAGAAGCTTCTTACATACAGAAGAAACTTCAACATAGCCAAGCCTGGCTGGAAAATTTAAGGAAAAGGTGTAGTAAATGTATTGCAACAAGCCTACACATAACAGCCTGAGTTGGTAATTTTCATAACCATCCTCATTACAGAGATTATAGAAAAATGCAGGTTCCTCTTCAGCAACTTTTTTTTTCATTTGCTGCCTCACACATTGCCTTTTTGATGGCTTTTCCTGCTTTAGGGGAAATTCTTCCAGACCTCTCAGATTAATCCTTATGGCAATCAGTAGCTACAGACCTGATCATTTTCTTCTTAGAATTCAAAAGGGAGTTCTGCCATTGTTTTGTTAACAGAAGTTGGATGACGAAACCCTTAATGAAGGATTTCTCTTGGAGGAAAAATGTTTTTAATTAATTGCCACGTGAAGCCTGGGATCCTAAAGGGGTTCGACTAGAGAAGGAAAGACCTTAATGAAATAATCTGAAAATCACTGCTGATGTCAGTTGCTTCTCAGGAAACTATGAGTGGTGTAAATTTCAGACATCCATGTGCATCATTTAGCTGCTTTCTGGAGCCGATTTCATAAAATTTGTTTCATTAGCGGTATTCATTGCTGCTCTAAGCATCAATTTCTTGCCAACTCCTATCACTGCAGGCTAGTGATACATGTGGCAAACCCGCTACCCTGTGGACCAGGAAATTGCTGTACATGCTGCCTGCTTTGGGAACTCACGTGGTGCTGGGCTGGGTCAAAAGTCACTGCACAGTTTTAGGCACAGGAATTGCCAGTGACAAATTTGACACACGCTGACAGTGGCTATTTATGTTTCAAAATTTTCTGATCGCTCAGGAATTTTAAGAGTGCCTCTGCTGAAGGGTGACTGCTAAAAAGTACAGCTCTGTATCAGTTAATAATATCAAAACAAACAGTCATCAGGCATTTCACTGGTGCAAATCAAAACTTTGCTATTGACAGCCAAGACCTGTTCATCAGAAAAGTTCAGCACAGCCTGCTGACTGAAATCAAAGTTGAGCTCACTGAAGAAATGGCCCACAAAAGCTTTCCCTGAAGGAAAACTTGGGGTTTAATTGCCATGGTAAGGTGTTGGCCTCTTCCTCCCACGCTGCTGAGATCTGAAAAATGCCACTGAAGTCAACAGAAGTCTGCCTGACTCATGGGCTTTGGGGTTTACCCTCTTAAGTTTTCTCTTTTCTTAGATTTATATATGACTTTTACCCTAAAAAAATTAATCAGAGAATCATGGAGCAGTTTAGGTTGGAAGGAACCTTTAAGGGTCACCTGGTGCAAATCCTCTGCACTGAGCAGGGACATTCAACAGGTCACGTTGCTCAGAGCCCGGGTCAGCCTGACCTCGAATGTTTCCAGGGATGGGCCATCCACCACCCCTTTGGGCAGCCTGTGCCAGTGTTTCACCACCCTCATTGTAAAACTGTGATGTTGCCCACAACAGGAAGGAGAAAACACCATAGTGTCAGTAGTTGTTAGCCCACGGGCTCAGCGTGTCCCCTTTCCTGCCTAAAAGAGACAAAATTACAAGTAGCTGTGCTTCTCTGGGAGCATTTTCCTGGGGCAAAGAGTCCTCTGCAGACTCATGGGTCTGTGGATAAGGAGGACAGAGATGAAGCCAGCAAGCTGTAGAAACTACCATTTCTCCTTCCCATGACATCCAGTGGAAACAATGAGACAGCAGACCCGGAGTCAGGAGTCTTAGCTTGGTCAGAGGCTTTCTGTGTCATCTGAAAAATGTCACCCACCCTCAATAGTAGGAGCATCCTAAACCCCAATGCAGTGAATACTCACACATGGATGCATAATCTGCCTGTGCCTGTTTCTGCATGAAACCCCACCATCATCTGCGTGGGAAAACCCAAAGGCAAGCCCAGTCTGCAGCTCCTTATTCAGCTGCCTCACTGCTGGTTGAGCAGATAACCACTAATGCCAGTGGGAGCTTGCCTGGGTAAATCAGTGTGAAAACCAAGAAAGAAGTTCTGAAACAGCACCCAGATGCCTTTCTTCTCGATACCATACTTCTCACATTCCAGTCATCCTGCCTTTTCCAGCAATTCAGTGGGGTGGGGGGAGAAAAAAACGCTCCCTCTGCACTTGCTGCGTTGTTTCCCTTCGCCATTGCCCCCAAATCAGAATTACAAAAGCAGGTAAATAAGCTATTTAAGTGCCTCCTGCAGCCTGGTGCCCTTCAGAAGGACCCCAGCTGACAGGTTCAGTGCTGGGCTGCACAGAGTGCTTCCTGCCAGCCTGGGTGGTCCCAGCCCCAGCACAGGGAGCCCGACAGCTGAGAGCAGGGATGTGGACCCGGGGCAGCAGTCGGGGCTGGGGAGCTGCAGCTTGGGTTTCATCCACTGCACATTTGTCTGGAAGGCCACAGAGCTTGCCATGGCACTTCTCCACGTGGGGATCTCATTCCCCTGCTGTAAAACAAATGTTTAGATTCGCAATGAATCCATTCATTCCCAGGGCATCCATCTGATTATCCCTGATGACTGCAGGAGGAGGTACTCAGCCTGGTTTATGATTCTAGTCTGAATTACAGGCTTAGTGTCCAGTGATTTATAACACCAGTAGCTGCCCTGTACTAGAAGCTAAAATCTTAGAACCAGAGAATATCCTGTGCTGGAAGGGACCCACAAGGATTGAGTCCAGGTCCTGGCCCTGCACAGGACACCCCAACAATTCCACCATGAGTGTTGTCCAAATACTTCTTGATCTGTGTCAGGGTGGGGCTGTGATCACTTCCCTGGGAGCAGGAACCCCCAAACCTTCACAGGTTATGGTGATATTTCTATGTTTCTTTTCTAAAACACATCAACCCACTCGGTTCAGTGGCCATGATTTGAATTATTTTGGCAATTTCTAGGACTTGATTCTAAAGTTTAAAAAAATACCAGTTCCCTAAGGGACAGCAGAACAAATGGCTAAACATGGGAGCTCCAAGGGGCACTCTGAAGTCAAAACACCTTGTCAAAACCTCCTGTAAGAGTGACTTCTTAGCAGGACTGACTACTGACCTGCTTCTTTCCTGAGTAGGTGGCCTTAAGTGAACCCATGTAACGAATCTGACATTTTTGGAATTAATGTTCAAACTCCAAGCAGTTGAGCATCACTTTTCCCACAGCAGAATCAAGACTGCTGATAGCAAACCAAAGCAATGTTGACAAACATCATACCAGTGCTACTGTTATTCCAGCAAGCAGAACTTTGCATCCCAGTAGTGTCCTTATGAAAAAATCAAAGGTGATGTCGCACACAGACATCTTGAATCAGGGTAATGGCATCACCTCAGATGCAATGGGAGTAAAAATATTAAAATGCTTACAGGGATAATGTATTTTTTTCACCATTGTTTAATTTCAAAAATTGCAAAGTAATTTGCTTAAAGTTTTCAGCAGGAAAATCACCTCCGCCTGAATTAATGCATGGAAAAAAACCCCAATCCTAAAGACAATTTTTTAAAAAAAATTATCATCATGTACAGAGGGGGATGAGGTAGTAGAAGTTGCAACACACGGCCAGACTCTAAGCTGAGCTGAAACAATTCAGAGGGAGATGATGGGAGGTGAAGGCCTCTTTATGGCACTACAGGTTTGGATCTGCAAACATATCCATAAGAGATATTCAAATCTGCCATCATATAAAATACCTTGTATACCCTTTCCTATTTATAGACTTACATAAATCTACCATTCTATAAATTTTCATCCGTGCATTTATGATTAGATTATAAATTATACCTAAAAACCTGCATAACTATTTCTATAGAGAGAGATAAAATATACATGGTATTTAACTTTTTTGCCATGAAATGAATTCTCTCTCAGATGTTCTGAGAACAGTGGCACATTGAAACAGGAATTGTCACAAGCAATATTTCACAGATGTCTGGTTTTAGATACCATGCCCATTGACAAGCTCTGGTTCTTCCTGGATTCTTTCATGCCCTAAAGCCTGGGTTTGCCTGGATTATTCCTCTCCTTCTGCTTCCCCCACCTATACCATCCCCCCTTCTCCTTCCCTGCCTCTTCAGGGTGTACTCATGAGGCAGCTACATGGCTGAGGGGTACATTGCAAACTTTACTTTGCATCCGGTGTGAAGAACCAAGCCTTTCAATACTCTAGAGCATCCCTATGTGCTGCTCCCTCCCAGGTTTGTTTTCCTGAAGTTGGATTGTGTCCCAGGGCTGCAAGTCTGAGTTATCTGGTGGTTATTTGCACCCCTGTCCTCCTGGGTTCTGTTGAGCCACAGAGATATTCCTTGGAGCTTATAACAAGCACAGGTTAGAATGAGGAAAAAAAGGCATGTATGTATTTCAGTTGGGAATTCTCTACCAGATGCTTGACATTTTTCCCTGGGTAATTTATCTGCAGTGGAACCCTTACTGATCCTGTGGCCAAATGGTTCCTATGCACTTTTCTCAGCTGGGAACACTGGACTGTGACAGCATAAGCAGTAACAGATACCAGGATTCATGGTTACTGCTGTGTGGGTACTGTGTTGTACCTCACACCCCTGCAGTCTCGCACGTAATTTCTGCAAACTACAAAAGCGTTTTGGGGTTTTTTTCCCCCCTTTATCATAACAACCTATGAAACACAGCCCTGTGACCTGTGGTGATGGGTCCTGTGCAAAGCTCTGGTTGTTGCAGGCAAGGAAAGAGAACCCAGGAATCCAGGACACTTACTCATTTCCATGTACTCCGGGGTCAGGCCGGTGAAAGGTTCCAAGGTATAGTCGAGGTCCCATTGCTGAGGGTCCTTTGATGGGTTGGTGTCCATTTCCTTTGGCTCAGTTCTTTCATCCTTCAGCTTCCTGAAGAGCTTCTTTAGCTTCCTGAGGAAAAAAAGTCCAGATTGAACCAAGTTGTTTTTTTTTTTTTACCTTTTCCCCCCCCTCAAAATTTGACCCGAGTCTCTGTGCAGCAACACAGAATTCATCTCCTGTGACTTCAGTGCACAACAGGATGAGCTTACACCACCCTGTGAAGTTTTGATGCTGCTTATTGACAGATGACAGGCTGCTGGGATTGAATACAGTACTTTTTAATATTTTTTTTCTCTCTCTAGATGCATATTCAATGGAGATCTTCCTGAAGCTCAAGCACCTTGGACCTAGATAAAGCTAGTAATAAGTAATACTCTGAAGAACAACATACTGAGCACAATGTAAGAAGATTACGTGATAGCTTCATACCACCTATCAACCACAGGTGCACTTTTGCCTCACCATGAAATTGGGAACTTCCAGTATAATATGCTTTTAAGGTACAAAAATAACCATTCATGCATAGTTTGCCCAGAGAAGCTGTGACTGCCCCATCCCTGGGAGTTTCCAAGGCCAGGTTGGATGGGGCTCTGAGTAACCTGGGACAGTGGAAGGTGTCCCTGCCCATGGCAGGGGGTTGGAATGAGATGATCTTTAAGGTCCTTTCCAAGCCAAACTGTTCTGTGATTCCATGATATTTGCAAATAAAGAGGGTGCAAGAACGTACTGATAGCACAAATAGTGGTATCAATCACACTCTCATTAAAATGGGGATACAAATTTCGTGACACTGGCAAAGACAGGGAGTAAAGCAAAACCATTTCTAAAAGAAGACTAAGCAAAACACCCCAAATGCCCCCCAAGGAATGACATTTCAAATGCATGTGCATCGACAACATCACACTATTTTAAACATCAAGAAATTCCCATGGAAAAAAACCCACAATAGAATGAAGAATTTCTTCAAAATCAAGGAGGTGAAACACAGTTGAATTAGCATAAAATAGCAAGATTTGTACTTTCTTTTGCAGATGATATTTATCTCACAAGGGCATAGGACGCTATTTTATGGTTCTTCACAGATGTGCCATATGAGTGAGAATCCAGACTAATCCCAGTGATGTCTTGCCAGTAGTGCAAGCAGGACTCTCCCACAAGCTCTCCCCCCACAGCTTGTGATAAACCCTTTGAACTGTAGGTGTGTGGCCTGGAGATGGGAATATATGGGGGAAGGGGTTTTCCTTTGTGCCTCCAGTGAAGCAGAACTGCCTTTCTCAGACCCTGATTTCAGCATCAGGGCAAGGCAAGCTGGCAAACACTGTAAAGGCTTTGCAGGGTGGGTTTTTTTTTGCTTTATTCCTGAATTTACACTCAGCCACACAGGATCACTGTGTCACCACGTTGCACAAGGCTCTGTAGCAGCCTGGAAAGGAGTGGCTGAGGGATTTCTACACTGACCTGTGTTCACAGGACCCAATTTCATCACTGGGATGGAGGAAATGGGGATTGTCAGACTCTCTGGAAACAGACCTAGATTGCCTCGGGCCCTGTCAGTCCCAGGATCACAGAGTATCAAAAATGAACAGCTCAACCCCATCCTTTGTTTCAGGTGCAATGAAGATGTAGCTCACAAGTCTGATGGTAACATCCTCGGTACTTTGGCAATGCTGGGGCTAACCAAAGAATTTTGGTACCCAGAACACTCAGATGACACAGTTTTAGCTAAAGGGTAGGGGAGATTTCAAATGCTTCATAAGAAAGAATTAGGGGAATCCTTACAAAGGCATCCTGCAAACTCAGCCATTTCGGGACTCTAAAATTCCCTTTCTCCCCCTCTGCTTTCATGGCAGCCAAGGGAACTTCTCTGTGAAAGAGGTGATGTACTATTCAGAAGGTAGGAGACTGGGGCAGGATTTAAAACCAGCAAAGAATTCCCAGGATGCTCTTCCAACATATCCCAATTAATTCCCTAACGCGAGGGACTCTCAGAGGGCGGCAAACAATAAGTTCAAGGCAAATTTCTGATTTCTGTTCAGACAAAAAGATCCAAGCCATAAATGCCCCTCGCACTTCCGTGGGCAGATGAGGCTGAAGATCCTCCCATGGTCACAGTGCAGCAGCTGAGACAAAATTTGGGTGTGTTCAGATGTGAGGTCTGTGCACGTGTGATCTGGTTGGAGCCCCACAGAACTGAGCCGTGGAGTTCCCTGCACACACAAACCTCCCAGGAGAACTCAGTAACTGAAGCAATAGTTGTTGTTTTTAATGTTTGTTTGGGAGTGCACTAAATCCAGGGCTCAGTCACTCAGGATAATTTTTAATTTTTCATCTGGCTATCTGCAAGCCAGGCATGAGGAGCTGCATTTTTAACCATTTGGAGTTCAGCTTTGAAGAGTGTCTGTATGCTTCTTTTCATGCCATTTTTTTTTTTTAAATATCAACTGACTGAAAGCAAGCCAAACTAATTATTTCAAATTTTCCACAAAAAAAAAAACCAAAAAAACCCAAAACACCAAAATAAAACCTTTGTGTCATATCCAAGCATGTGAAGTTTGAGACCAAGCAGAAATGTGTCAGAAAGTTAGAGGAACAAAGATCAGGGATTTCCAGAGTGTTATTCTCCAGCTATACAGCAGTAGGGTCACGAAAATGAGTTTTGCAGAGCCCTATGGCCGTACATATGATCGTGAGATTAAAACTGAGGACACCCTTTGAATGCACTTGTGTGAAACCTGGTTTTTTTCACTACTCAGATCAGCATTTTTTCAACAAGGTTGACTGACAAAGGGTTGTTTTAGCTGCTGATTTCTGCCTGGCAGGCAGTGGGGAAGAGGCAGGTTTGCCCATTCAGGCTGAGCAGGAAACTTTCCTGACTCCATATGAACCTGGGCAAGCAGAGAAAATGGTAGAGCTTCAGAATAGCCATTATTTCTGGCCCTTTTTTCCAGTGAATATCAAAAAGCAAGGTGCACTCCTAAGGAGACTGAACACATGGAAGAAGAATTATCGTGGGACCAGAGGGAAAGAAAGCGAACAGGTTTTTGTCAGGCTGTGTCTGGAGCAGCTGAAAGAAGGAGAGAGCATAAAATCATTACAGCCCCACTCCTGAGGAAAAGCTTCCCTCAAGCTTCCTAGGGAAAAAAAAACTGAGGAAAAGAAGAGAGGAGCCAAACCCCAGATGATTATGGCTGGGCTTCTAAGCACATGGAGCACTTAAATGAAGACTTTTAAAAAATCAGAGAGATTATTTGTATTAGGTGGTTTTTTAAGGCTATCCTTCCAGCTGATGCTTTTTGATTTGTAGCATGATAGAAAAGGGTACAGGGAGAAAGCTAAACAAAAAAATTTCTGGTATAGCCATGCTTCCTTGGCACACTCAGACTTCCTGGATTCTGTGGGAGATTCAGTTTGGGATTTACTGGTTTTTGAGTCAGAGGAAAACAGCAACTCAAAACAGGAGAGGGAAAAAACCCAATCAAACACCAAAAAAACCTTATTTAAGAATAATTTAGTAAAGGTGAAAAACACCATAAAAGAGAATAGCTATGAAGGAGTGTCTTTAAATGGATTTTATTAACTTTGTATTCTCATCCAGCATAGTAAGTGCATTTTGAAGTAAATGATGGAAAAATAAAAAGGTCAAAATCACTAAATGCAATAGAAGTTTTGCCATCCACTCCAACAGGGCCAGGATTTCACCCTAAGGGTTTAGCACCAAGGTCAAAGACAGACTAATAAAATAACCACATAGATGTTTTTTTCAATAAGTTCAGAAAAAAAACCAAACCAAACCAAACCAACCAGAACTGAAGAAATGGAGTTTAAAAGAAACTCTGGGTTAAAGTTTTCAAGCCCTGCAGCCTTACATGGTCAAGTCCTGTGGCAACAGTAAAACAATGATGGTATGTGACACATCTGAGTGAACTGTGGCATATTTACATCTGTTAAACTTGTGAATTCCAGCCCCACAGAATACACATTTCAGTTCAGGAAGGCTTAGTTTTGTGTAACTCAAGTGTTGCTGCATTTAACTAGCTGGTTGGACATCTTTGGGTGCAGAAATTAAAAAAAAAAAAGAAAAAAAAAAGAAAAATCACAGAAAGATTTAGGAGACCAACAAGTCACATCTATCATAGCTGTGCAGCAGTTCCTGCAGAAGGATTGAAGGAAAAAGCAATGATGTGTCCCCTGTGACCCCAAAAAGGCAGGGCTGCCATTTGAAGTTTAACTTCTCATCCAGCACTGACTGTGGATAAAGCAGAATGAAGACACTGGAAGATGCTTCCCAGTTCTGGCAGCATTTGGGATGCTGGAGGCATAATGGATGAGTGCTGTTTGCAAACTGGGTTTGTCATCTACTTGGCAGAATCCTTTGAGGGAAAGAGACAGAAAATGGGACAGCTTTCTGACCTTCTGCAAAGCAGCTGAAACGACTTGGGTTTTTCTGGTGAATAAAATCGAAAGGTTTCCTGCAAATAATCCTGAAATCTTGAGATTTCAGTAAGGAAAAAAAAAAACAAACAACTTTTCATCATAAAACTTAGCAGAGAGGTGCTTCCACGCTGCAGGTGTGGGGGAGGACAATAGGAGATTCTGAAGAACAAATCACCATTTGTGAAGGTCCCTTATGGACAGAAAAGGTTGGTTGCAGCATCTGTACTCTGCCCTCAGTGAAAATTCAGATGAATCTGTTTAATTCTCTCTGATTCTCCAAGAGGCACAAGGCAAGAAGGGGAAAGAACGCAGCTGTTGGAACTGTTGATAAAAAAAAAATAAAAATATTGATCTATTTTTCTGCCAGAAGGGAAAATCTGATGGGTAGAGCCCCAAAGTTTGTCTGTGCCCGTGTGTGTGTGGCAGGTAAGACAGAATGGGGTACAGGTAAGGATCTAGCCCACAGCAGTGGAGTGGCCCATGCAGAGACATCAGGCTAATTCTGATTTAATTAGGGGTTCAGGAAAGCACTGTGCTTCTCCTGGTGCAAACAGGCCTGAGCCCTGCAGATGTACATTCTTGAGAATGCAGACAAGCAAAGGGAAATTTAATATTCTTAATATTCTTATTGCAGGATGACAAGATAGCATTGTGACTGAAATGATTATTTATCCAGGGAGGAGAGGATGAAAGCATGTTTGTTTCTAAACAGTTTTAAAAATTGAGGCCACCACAGTTTGTTGGCAGAAGGGTGGGGGGAGGAAGAAATGAGGGAGAAAAATGGGATGAAATGGTCACATTCTTGCACCAAAGTGAGAGAAATGAGAAATAATTCTACATGAATTTCTGTTTGGACTGGATCAGCCTGTGCTTTCATGAGTCAAAAATAATAAATACAGTATTTCCAACATCATAAAATCACCATTAAAAAAGTCCAGTAGCAGTAAGTTTTTGGAAGACGAGAAACAAATCACTCAGGTTTACACTGAGAAAGCTTTAAACCATCAACATGTCAGATATTTTGGGAATGATTTACCACACTTTTCTCAAAATAAAATGTAAACCCAATGAGATGTAGACAGAAAACAGGCCTCCCTATTGAACTTTGACACAAGAATAATGAAACCATCCATAATCCACATCTGATTTGTTTGGGATTTCTTTTTTTTTTTTTTTCTATTTAAATTCCTTCCAAGAAAAAATAAAATATCTTGCTTGGAAAAGGGAGGAAAACGGCTCATTTTAAATATATTTCCTATCTTTTGTGTCTCTTGTCTTGGCTTCTAGTTAACATCTTCAAGGCCTTCCTTATGGCTGTGACCCAAAAGCTGCTGACACCAGAGCTGAAATATTCTGATTAATTTCGGTGGAGCTGAGACATCTGAGCCAGGCTCCTTCTCTACTACAACATTTCACAGGCCACTGCCACCAAGAAGCGAACCTCCCAGGAGGCAGAAGCAGGACATTCTCAGTGGATTCCCAGAGCCTGAAGGTGCCCCTGGCGCTGGTGACAGACAGGGAGGGTTTTCCTGCTGCGTTTGCAGCCCAGGACTGTGCCCTGAGGGTCCTGTGGCAGTCACTGCCGGCCTCACACAGTGACACACTGACACACAGGCACCCTGCAAACGTGTGGATTTCATTTGTAAGCCCATAAAATACTCATAGATCAAATAGTGGGCTCTAACATCTTTTATGAGCTATTGCTTTCCCCCATGCTAACTCTCCTCCACTTTTAAACTAATCTGTATTCAACACTGCTGTCCTGAAAGCTTCTCTGAAACTTCCCAAGAGATCTATCATACCTTGCCCGTTTTCCCGGGTTTCTAAAATTAATTTAAATCAATTATTTAATATATTCAATCACTTTCTCCAAGCCATTTGCTGCAGATATAGCCAATTATTCAACGTAAAATACAGCCAGATCATTCCACCACCACCAAAAATGTGATTTATCCTCACATTCAATTAGAACCCGCTGAAGACAGTGGCAAAAGTTCCCATTCAGCTGAATAGGGACCCAGCCTTTAATTTACTGTGTCGTGGGAATAAGGCAATGGGGAAGGATGGGATACGTACGGGATTCCAATTTCAAACAGATTATTTTGGATCAGTTGTTTTCCAAGCATGATGATGCTCAGCTGAATGCAGAGTTCCATCAAACAGCCTCCTGGAGCACACTGTAATTAAACAAAACCAGGGAGTGTGAAGGGATTGAGAGGATTCATGTAAAAGCACCCACTTGGGAGAGCTCCCAGTGTCTCCCTGTGCCCGCTGCCCCTGCCACCAATTAGTGTGGGAGCACGGAGCTCATCCATCACTGCAATTCTGGGCTTGGCAAGGCATTTCATCTCCACTCATAAAACTCCATTATGGAAAAGATGCAGAGCTCAGAAATAACTGGCTGTGCCCTGGGGCTGCTATATTTCCTTTGAAAATATTTACCATATAATCAATGTAATAAACATAATGCAGTGTCACCAATACTCTCCCAGCCTGGTGTCTCCCAGGGGGAAGAAAGGCTTCAATCTTGCAAAGATTTACATGTCAGTTCGATTGTAAAACCTTAGCACATCTATCAGTTTTCAAGGAAATACCACCAGCAGTTAAAGGGAAATTTGAAAAAAAAAAAAAAAAAATTACAGGTTTAGCCCCAAATGGCAATGGGCTACTGAAATGGCTATTAAAATTTCCAAGCTTCCAGTGATCCAGAAGGAGAAGCCAGATTCAAGTTTCCCAAGGGCCTCAAAATCAAATCATGTAATGTTTGTGCCCTAGTGCCCAGTTGGAAAGCATAGAAGTGGTGAGGCTGCACCTGAGAGAGACCATGAAATACTCATGAAATACTCAAAACTGCAGAGAGAAAGAACATAAAAGTGCCTTAGACGGAAAATTTGGATTTTGTCTATTTAGGGAGAAGATTTAACCTCTTGTTTTAACGTGTTTTCCATTTTTCCCTTCTTGTCTATACACTTTTATGCATATTTCTCTGTGCTAAGGATTTGGTTTTTGTTGTTTGAATTTCATATGTACTTCTATGCACTTACCTCTTCCATTCGATATCCTTCAAACACGTACACATAACGACCAGGACGGCCAACAAACCTGAAAGCAATAAAAATCCACGAAATAATATAAAAATGGGAAATATGAGCTAATAAAAAGGCAGGAAAATAAGCTAGCTTTAACATCATAATTATTCATTCATATTAACTAAAATATCTCAGAAGCAGCTTCTTCAATGTGAATTTTAAAAGACTCAGCACCTGCTCAACTCTGATTATTTAAAATTATTTCAAAGCAGGAGGCCTTCACAAATTGTTTTCTACTATGTCTTGATAAAATAATTTTCATAAAATATTTTTTCTTTGTTAAAACAGAATAACAACGAACTCCCCCTTTTGATTGGAGATCACAAATAGAAATGGGAACACATATCCTAACTCACATTCTCTTGCATCTGAGTATTGCCTGAACAGAATTATTTCCACATCTATACACAATCAAGACTTTTTTGACAACATAGGGAGAAACAGTAAGATTTGACTTTATTATAACCATACAACACAAAAATATGGTCAAGAAAAGAAAGAATTTGCTGATATTTTTCACTGATGCCTTACAATCTTTACAATTGCTGGCAAAATGCAACATTCACCCTCGAATCAAAGACGCTGAATAGGATTAGTGAAGACTGCAGATTAACAAATTTTACAGCCCCCAAAAAGGAACAGAAAAAATGGTATGGAACAGAATCAAGAGGATGTTTTAAACAGGTTTTTTTGCCAAAGTTTTAGCAAGCAGTCGTTTTAAGCTTCCCGTTCAAAAGCATGTGGATGACCTGGTCCCAAAAGACAGTGATCCTGAACCCCTAGGAAGTCACACTTATTTAGCAGGACAGCTGAATTAGCTTTTTGGTCAACCAGTTCATTTGCCAAAACTCAGCTTCCAGTTGACTATAGCCCTTCCTTAATTTAACTTGATAGAGGAGAAAAGTGCAAAACGATGAGAAAGGAAAAAGAAAAAAAAAAAAAAGAAAAAAGAAGTTCCGTAATTGTAAATGAAATAGAGAAACCCCTCTTTGCTGGATGATGCCTCAAGGAAAATTTGCTAGAATGTGGAAGGTGAAGGCCTGTAAGCACTACCTTTCACTTATTAGAGCAACACCCTTTTTGAACTAAAAGGGATTATTTTCTGAGGTGAGGATTATTCTTGTTTTAGAAAGAACTGGTCACAGTCCAGAACGAGGCTCAGGCCAGTACTCAACATCGTGCCCTGCCACTCAACAAAAAGCTTTAAACAACCCTGTTTATGATATTTTTCCAGCTCTGGTGAAGGTGTTCAGCCCCAGGCCACAGTTAGGTAGCCCTTAGTGTCCATTTTTAAACACAGATCCAACTAATATGGACATATATATAAATATATATACAAATACAAATATACATATATATCAATATGTAAAGGATCTTTATCCTACCTTCCTTTAAAAAAGGCAACATAAAAAATTGGTGCATAAGAATTCACGAACTTCAGTAGGAATGCCTTCAAAATCAATCTCTCCTCAAAGGTTTTCTCTGTTTTTGGTATTTCTGGGGGGGGAAAAAAAAAAAAAACAACAAAGCAAGAAAATTGAATTAGTAAATATGTAGAAATCCCTGACTCTCCAAATACACACAAAACCCCATAAACCAAACTGCAAACTTTGAGCTCATACTGATTTTGATTTTGTACTTCTAGTTTGTACCAAAGCACAGGGGGTCTGTCACTGAGTCCTGATTCCTGATTTCCAGAGAGTCCTCTCAAATTTCCAAATGGAAATTGGAGCTTCTTTGACAGAAGCATTAATAATGACAACATAATGAACTTGTTTTTCTGACAGGCCTCTGACAGCTTACCCCAAGTTAATCTTGGTTGTCTGTCCAATACCCTGGTGGCAAAAAACCCCAACAGATTCTGAAATCTGCCCTGGACCTGACAATACCTCACTTTTCCAGCCTTTTTCATTCTCTTACTGAGAGACCTGGGCAGACCCCATGACTTTCCCCTGCTTCAGGTCATGTGAAAACTCAGCACAGACCTCCTCTGTCATTTCCTCTGGCATCTGTTATTAAATACATACATTTTTGAATACAAATATAAGTATTAAATGCATATATTTCTTATCATAATGTATATTTCAATAAAAATAGATAGAAATTACATATTTACATGGTTCTTCTCTCGGTTATCTGGAGTTTGAGGGGGAAAAAAACTGGATCTTGACATTCCATTGCCCAAAGCAAAATCAGAATAAATTACTTTGATGCATGCAAGGGTATGTATATTAACACACCCAGGTATATCAGTTGCACAACTGAAATAACAAAACATTAATATTCTTAAGCCATGAATGGTGAAAGCAAAGTACAAAGACTTTCAACCAGAAAACAAAACACCTTAAAAGCCTCCTTGGCTTTGTGTACACAAAGCCTTCTTTTCTGTAATGAGATTGTCGGTGTGCTTAATGCTAAACACACAACTAAGCTCCTTTTTAAATCAGGCAGTAACTGATTATTAATTGCCATGCAAAATAAATGCACGTTCTAGATTTTTTTAGGTAATTTGTAAAAAAGTGGCTTCAACATTTCCCGTATTCGTTACTATGTTCCCAGGTTTATTTCCAGTTTCCATGGAAATTTTTCAGCAGTAGAACATATAAGACACAGGTTTTTCAAACTGACAGTAAAATTAAATATTTTTAAATATTTAAATATTCTGTAGGTGTTAAACTGTTGTGTTTCCATGCTCATCCTGGGCTGTAACTAATGTGAGAGCAGATAATTTTATAACTAACTTCATTATTCTTGGTTGAGTTTCTGTGGCACAACAGAAGTGGGGAATAATAAGGAGGTGCAGGGCTCTGGCTTTAAGGATTTCATTAAGAATGCTCCTGTATTTGCACAGTTTGTTTGGGGCACATTTTGGGCGTTTTGTTTGCTTTTGTTTTGTTTTGTTTTAAAAAAGAAGCATGATGGCTTTTTTGAACACTAAAGGAATTGCCAGCTTTATGAGTCCCCACTGCCAGGCTTTATCTGTGATACTTTCAACTGTATTTTCATAAAAAATCAGCACACAATCTGACGAGCCCTAAGGCTTTGTTCACCTAAATATATAGAAAAGCTTAATTAAACCTTCAAGGGGTTTGGACAATTCGTAGGTGATCCCACAGACTGAATTAGATCCACAGGACAACAGCTCAGGGCAGCAGGGATGTGGAGTAAGAGCAGTGCAGCTTTTCATTTGAGGGAGAAAAATCCCAAACTTTGCCTCACAGAGAACCCCCCCAAGGATGAGCTCAGCCTCTGGATGAACATTTGCACACCTTATATGGTCCCAGAGGCTCACTCAGCACTCCTCTCCCTCCCCACACTCAGACATGCTATACCATAGCCTGGCAGAGGCATGTGTAGAATTTGTCCTCTAGCCAGGTCGAGTCTGCTGCACAAGAAATGCATTCAGCCAGAAGAGGTGTTTTAGGAACAGGGAAAACTTTCCCACACACACACACCCCTCCCAAAAAGATGAATTATGGTGGGTTGTGCATGTCACACCCAAACTGGGCAGCTGAAACTTTCCAGGTGGAGAATGAGCTGAGATAACTGTGGACGAGTCTGAGCTCACTGAAGGAGTTTCTGCCTTTGTAAGACACAAACACAAGGAGTTTTGATTTTATCCCTGTATGACTGGTTCTTCCTTGGCCTCAGTGAGTCCTTCCCTGTGAGGGTGGGCAGGCCCTGGCACAGGTTGCCCAGAGAAGCTGTGGCTGCCCCATCCCTGGCAGTGTCCAAGGCCAGGTTGGATGGGGCTCTGAGCAACCTGGATTGGTGGAAGGTGTCCCTGCCCATGGCAGGGGATTGGAACTGAGATGATCTTTAAGGTCCCTTCCAACCCAAACCATCACAAGAAAACTACTACTTTTTCCCCCAAGCACTGCCTGAGCAGTTATTGAGGCAGATCCATGGCTTTGATCCTATGATGAATGCAATTGCTGCCAGTGGTACAATTCTTGTGCTTACAGAAGTAACTTCTCAGCTGAAAAAGATTCAAGTGTACTTGGGGTTGGAATAGCAACCTATGCTGTCAAGAGCTGTCCCTCCAGCCCGAGTGTGTTCCTCAGCTTGTCAATTAACTGCAGTGTGAAAAGAGAATGGAGTATGTTTTGCTCTGCTCAGCAAAATGAAAGTTCAAAAGTTAAGGAGCATTTATCAGCATGCATGAATAGTAATTTTTTTAAACATTTTGATTGCATTTGGCATCTGAGTCTAGCACTGGTGAAAGCTGCCTAAATGAACTCTCTAACTCTTGTAATTTGTAGCCCTAGAGATTATTCTGACTGTTCTGTTCTTAAACAAAACATCTGATTGATAATTAGGAATGTTGCCTAAATAAAGATAACCACGTACAGTGGCATTTTGTGAAAATTAATTGCTTTCTCTTTGTCTCTTTCTAATACTTTATGAATTTAATCTAAACTAACAGGCTAACCTTACTGGTAAAACCACAGGACCACATTTCAAAGACTCAGGATTATCTCAACTAGAAACCCACAAGAATGACTTTTCAGTGCTTGGAATAAATGACTTCATAATAAATAAATGACTTTGAAGCATCTAGAATTAGAGGTGATGTGTGAACCTGTGGGAAATACTATCTAATGACAGCTGTATACCCTAATGGATATAACAAATAATACTCTAGCCCAAATCTCTACACTAGTCAAATGAATGACTTGCCTTTAAATGACTTAAATACATTGCCAGGCTTGTAACAATATGATGACATCTAAAAAAAAAAAATTTGAAAGTCCAACCTCTAACTGAAATAGATATCATCACAAAAAAGTCCAGCCCAGACATGCCTCCAAAATGGAAAAAAAGATAAAATAATCATTTGAGTGGTAAGGAAATGGTTAATAATACCATGGCAAGCATTTGCCAGAGTCATCAACATCTGAGAAACAACCCAATGACTGTCAGTAAACCCAGTTCAAAACACATTTTGCCAGGGCAAAAATGCTCAACCAGGTCTAGATAAGTGGACCTTGGCACAGAGCACCTCACCCCACAGACCTGAATATTTCCTCTGGTGCTCTCCAGGAAATATTCCTACTAGAGCCTCCTTGCAACCCCTCCTGTCAATACTTGTAATGTACTAGGGAGGAATGTGGTGGGAGAGTTTTTACCAATTTCTGTCAGCCATTTGGCAACAGCTCCATAAATTTCATCCAGGATAAGTATCACCACGAGGTTAATGATGACAGCAGTGGCAGTCACAGTCACTCGAACGTTCGACCTGGTTGTCTCGTTGGTGCTGAACGACAGAGCTGCTGCTGTGGTGATTCGGTACACAATGACACCAAAAACTGCTGAAAACGTCAGCATAATCTGCAAAGAAATGCACACATAGGTTAGTTCAAGTTTGCCACCGGCAGTTCAGGGTGCTGAGTTATTTCTAAGAGCGACACGATGATATCAGGATGATCAAATGGAAAGGTGAGAATTCAGAACTCGCTGACAGACAGGGACATAAATCAGAAAAGGGGTGCAGAACTCCAAGCTGGCACAACAATTCAACTGTCAGAGAATGATCAGGAGGGCTGAAGCACCTCTCCTCTGAGGACAGGCTGAGTTGGGGAAGAGAAGGCTCCAGGGAGACCTTACAGCGGCCTTCCAGTACCTAAAGGGAAAGGGGGTTTATATAAAAGAGGGAGAGTGACTTTTTACATGGGCAGGTAGTGATAAGACAAGGGGGGGAAAGGTTCTAAACAAAAAGAAAGGAGAGATTTAGGTGAGATGTTATTAAAAAATTCTTCCCTGTGAGGGTGGGCAGGCCCTGGCACAGGTTGCCCAGAGAAGCTGTGGCTGCCCCATCCCTGGCAGTGTCCAAGGCCAGGTTGAGTGGGGCTCTGAGCAACATGATTGCGTGAATGGCATCCCTGCCATGGCAGGGGGATTGGAAGCAGATAATCTTTAAGGTCCCTTCCAAGCCAAGCCTTTCCAGAGTTCTGTGACACCAATTCTGCTCCTGAAGTTGTCATGTCCCTTCTGACTAAAGCCACACACGTCATTCACGTGGTGAAACTGCAGGTTGTTTGGGTTCAAATGCAGCTGCTGAGCAAAGGCTTTTTCTCTGGCAAGAGGTTCAGAGGCCTTGGACCAAAGGGCCTTCATGTGAGTGCAGGTAAATGGCCTTTACTGGCTGAAACTGCCCCACCTCTGCACAGTGGAAGTGGCAACTTACAATTTAATAAAAAAAATAATTTCCCATGTTATTATTCTTTTATGACTAACCTAAGAAGGGTTACTAGGGCTTCACTTTACATTTGTGTCCCAGAAATCACTTGGTATCCTTGGCATCCTTCATGGGTTGGCTTTGACCCATGAGATGAGGAAAGTCAACCCTGCTACGTAAGGTCAAGTTCCCACAAGAAGGATTTGAATTTCACAGGGCTTTGGTATTCTGGTTTAAAAAGAAATAAATATCTAAAACACCCCACAATGGAAAAAAAAAATCAATAAAATAGTAATAAAAAATAGCAAATTTTCATACTCATAGCACAAAAAGAGGAAGAAGATACATTTTTCTCTTTCATTTTCGCCTTTGGCAAGAATTCCAGTATACATTCATTATTTTAGGTATAACATCTTGAGATCCCCAGATGAAAGAGACTACCTAAATGTGAAAGATTAGACTATTGCAATTATTTCACTGGGCCTGGGGGCCCAGATTCACAACATGGGTATAAGGAAATTTAACAGCTCATCTTAATGATCCAGCACTAGTTTATTGAATTCCTGTATGCAGAGGAAGGCTGTTGCATGAAAAGGAACTATTGCAAAGGAATGAGATTCAGAGTATTATTAAAGGCTGAAGGTGAAAACTGGGCACATTTTGCTTTAACGAAGAACTAGTAAACATACTAAAAAATAATGATCTGGAGAAAACTCCTGAAGATATTAGATGAAATTCACAAATAAGCTTTGTCAGAAAATAGTAATGAAATATTAGATCTAGCAAAGCATCTAATTTTTACCTTTTAAAGACCTGTTTCATTAATTTTAAATGAAATGTGGGTGAATGATGAGTTTTTGCTTCATGCTAATATTTCTCATTCAAATAATGGCCTAAAGAAAAAATAATCTGCGCCGAAACAAATTTAAATGAAAACTTTTCCAATGGTATAAAATATTCTTTCCTTTTGTTTTGTAGTTTTCACTGTGTGGAGAGAACATTTTTGTATCTATTTTTCTCTTTTTTTTCCTTTTCACTTACCTACCAATCATGCAGAAAGAAATCTGATTTATGCTGAACTACCTACTCAGCTCTTGCTAGGACACAAGTGATGCAGGAGCATGAAGACCATAACTTTTTTCTTACTTACCCATTGCAGTCAGTACAGAAGAGAGTAAAATCCCCCATAAAGAAAGAAAACAAAACAGCCCCCCCTGGAATTAATCTAATTCACCTTCCACCCCTACAGTCATCTTGAGCTCTTTTCTTTTTCTTAGTTTGAGCCACAGATTCTTTCCTCTTAATCACATTCCTAACACTCTTTTCCTGTTTCTCTTCCCTGTGGATTTCCTTGGAAGTTTTTACTGTGGTTCTGGACAAGGGAAAACCAGCAAAGTAAACTTGAATGCAATCATTCTGGAGATGATAAGCTCTCTGGGCCTCCACAGGCACCTTTCTCCATCACAAACTTCCACTTAGGAATATCCCAACAGTAGGGGAAGGAGAGTCAAGGACAGTCATCACCGAACAGAGGGAAAGGAAACTTCAGATCATGGAAGTGGAAAACCAAACTCTTAGACTTGGCCAAAGGGTGGAAGGGATCCCCAGCAATGAGGAAGGTTACTGGAGGGTGAGGAATGCACTGCTGTGGCCTCCTCTGCTCACGCAGTGCCATTGCAAGGCATACAAAGTTATCGAAAAAAAAAATGTTTTGTTTGCTTAAAGAACAAAAATATTTGCTTTGCAAAAGCACCAGGGCTCCAGAAACTGTCCATTGCCCAGATGTTTTTGAACACCTGCTTAGACACAGATGGGAAAACATTCCTTTAGGAGTCTTCACTGTCTGTGCATCCAGCAACAAGAGACAATTGAGGAGGGCTTGTAGGACTGCACAGTGAGTGAGAGCACAGTTCTCACTCCCCAGACAGTCACTGAGAGGGAAAGAATCCTTCCTGTACCTTCACAGCATTTCTCTCATTCCTCAAAACACCTCTTTTGCCCAAATTCCAGGCCAGGCAGTCACCTTTTGTTCAAGCGCCCGCGTTGGGTTTTGTTGTCTTTGCCAACATTTCATCTGGCCAGTTCTCCCCCTGCTATGGCCAACAGCTTTGTCCCTGAGTATCTAAACTAGTCCATCAAGGACTGAACTGCTTAGAAACAGATGTGAAAATTGGCTGCAGGAAAGGTCACCTACTGAGCCTGGTATGAATGAAGACAAACAGGAAAGCAAACTGGATCTGAGAAGGAAGCCATAAAATCCCATGGGCTACACTGCTACCTTCGTCCAAGCAGGATAACAATTCAACCTCCAAATAGTTCTTTGGCTCTCCAGTAGGGCTATTGTAGAGTCAAGTATTACACCATGTGAGTAAGAAGAGGCAAAAAGGGTCCAAAAGGCAGGACAGGCTGAACTCTGAACACAAATTGGTTTTCTTCCTTCCTCTGACTGAGCCAACCATGCCAAACACAAAGAAAGGCTGCAGTGATGGCACTGCCCTGGGCCATCCCTCTCCCTTCCAGCAGCTACCAACATCCTCATCACACATCACTCAGAAATCTTTGCCACAGCATTCCCCTTCAGAGTACAGGGTTTATTAAGTGTGACACACGTTATTAGTAATCACACTCAATCAAAATTTGTAGATGCCCAGCCAAGCTCAGATCTCCTGTTACCACTGTTCTTACTAGGTAAAAATAAGACTTGTCCTAAAATCCCTGCAAAAGACATGTTTTAAATCAAGGCTGGATCTGCTGCCCCCTCTGCAGTCCAGCGAGGCTTTGTGTACAACAGAAGAACTGTGATCAAACTTTAAAGCATCCATAAATGTTTAAAATAATCCTTGGAATTAGTTGGTGGTGTAAGACATAACCAATGGGGCAAAAGAAACAAACCCAATAATTTTTTTTTTTTTTTTGCACTTTTCACAAAACAAACAGCATGCCTGGCTTAATAATGACAGAGGAAAATCCAAAAAGAAAGGCAAAAAAAAAAGTCAAACAAACAAACCCAAAAAAACCCACCAAAAAAAAAATAAACAGAGTTCTTGAAGGAGGATTTACAAAAGGGAAGGGCAAAAAAGAAGTACAGAAATAAAGAGAAAAAAAAAAGAGGAAAGATTTTTACAATTAGAATACCACTGGCAGCTTCAAGAATCATCAGGGAAAGTATGGGATGTAAAGGTGGGGGACAGAACACAACAGCACCATTCTATATTAATGTAGATATCTTAATGGACAAAGCCTGTGGATTTGGGACACCAGACCCTTTGGGCCTGAAACAAGGAGTATTAAAAATTCAACAATCACTTCTGCAGCACTAGAAATTGCAACGTGTTCATCTGAGGGTCTGTGTCTGAGTCTTCTCTGTCTCTGCACTGTACAAATGCAAACACCCATGTAAATTCAAGATTTCATTACCTATTACATGTTTAGTGCTTACAGTTAAAAAAAAAAATTGTGTGAATAACAGAGGTAGGCCAGACCAATTTAGTTTCCCCAGTACAATTCCATTGCACAGACCAACAACAAACTTCAGGTTTCCAATTCCTGTTTAACTAATCTAGCAGAAGAAAAAAAAGGAAACATCACATACAATAAAGAGCAGATTGTAAGGTCCACATAGGAGAGCAGAGCCAGCTCTCCCTCATCAAGAGCTGCCTTCAGTTCCATCCATGGTTTGCAAGTTGTCTTACATAAAAATAATGCTCAAAATATTCTAAAAAAAAAATCATTGTACCCACCTCACCAAATGGTGAAAGACAGCCTAGTTCCACTAGCTGAACGATTGGAGCTCTGAATTTTACATCTCACAAACTGTGAGATGTAAAAACCCTTCATAAATCTCTCTAGGACCTTACAGTGAGCAGGGAGCGTGACACATAGGCTATGACTCAGGAAAGCACTTTGAGCTCATGCTTAGGGCAGATTTAAACACGTGTTTTAAAGTCAAGAGCACATGTAAGCACCTTGTCTGCAAAAGGATGACTTGTAAAAGCTAAATCAGGGCTATGTGCTTAGCCATGCTTTCAGTGAAGTCATGACTGATGCCAGTGAGAGGTTCTGTCTAAAAAGCAAACGGTTGGCATTGTCTCAGGATGGAAAACTAACTGATGTACAGAAAATGTGCTTAATATACAATTCATACCATTCAGCCAACAGCCCTTCCATAGGCAGCCTTTGGAAAAAGGGAATAAAGCTGGAGGCAGGCCCTGAGCTCTGTAAACCTCCCCAGTACTTCCCACAAACTGGAGGTTGTAGCCCTGGCTTCAGATTTTTAGCGTGTTTGAGAACTACCAGTTCAGGGCTCCACTCAAGATGCCCATCACAATGTCTCTCACACCCAATAAACGTGAAGAAATGCAGGTTTTGTTACCATAAATAAAATCAATCCAAAGTTTGCTGCGTATCCAGGCATGCGGTCACTGCACGTCAGCTTCTCCTTTTCACCCTGCAGACAAAACACACAGACAAAATAACAGGCATGACAGAGCTGTACAGTAGGAAATACTGGAAGGAGTTAGATTTGTTGTTGGAACACATTCTGAAATTCCCTGCTGTGATTTTGAAGAAGATTATGCGGTTTAGAACACCGATATTTTAAAATAGACTTTAATTGCAGAGAAAAGAGGGTAAGAGAGTAAATAAGATGTAGAAAATGTCTGCAAAAATCAGAAAATATCCTATGGAACTATTATTTTAGTATTTGAAAAAAAATTTCCAAAACTTACTAAATTTCATATTGGGAGAAAGCCCTGAGACTCACCTTAATTTACATTTAAGCAAAACAGAATCCAACCACTTATTTTCACTTGCTTCTTGTAAAACTACAGCAGAATAGTGCTTGAGGCAGAAATCAAGATAAGAATTCTGATTACCCCTGAACCTTTTTTTTTTTTTTTTTTTTTTTTTTTGTCTAATGTAATTCAGGTATTTCCTGCAAGGCACCCCAATCCATCTCCTGGTACCTGTTCTGTAGGAAAGAGAAACTACAAAAGCAATGCCCCTCTGTGATCTCTGCTGCCAGGCTTGTTTTTCTCATGGATAAACAGCATCTCCCTCTTCATTGAATAATTTAAAGCAACTGTGGTCAGTGAAATCCAGTACTCTCTTACTCTCCCCATGCAAACTCAACTCCATCTCCAGCCACTTGTACATCTAAAGAAGACATTTGAAGATGGATTTATACAAGAAATGTGACTCCCTCCTCTCAAAATAGGTTTCTTAAAATAATAATAAGGTCACTACTTTGTTTAAGTTAACCTAGAACTATATAATCAAATTAACTAAGGACACAGAGCCAGCTGCTGTTTGTGTTTCTGTGAACCACCCGTGGCTATCCCATGGACTGGTCCTACACTTACACCAGAGTTAGCCCAGAGTTATCCTGAATTTAAATGAGTTTAAATCCGATTAGAACTCAGGTCAGAGGTTTCCAACAGACCATTCCTAAGGCACAATTGTCCTCAGATGAACATAAAACTCTGGGAGCGTTGTGCCTTTCCATAACGTTTTCCCAAGGTCGCATCAGGGATACAGAATAAGTGCAGGAACTCAGCCGTGGCTTTTTCTCATGGAGATTTCTGGGATGTGGAATCAGACCTGAGACACCATCCTGCCTACACACCCACTGCCACTGTGGAGGTGCCTCAGACCCTGTGGGAAGGAGGGTCAGTGAGCATCCCCTGTCCTCGGCTCAGCTGTCCCAACACACAAACGGGGCGCGTCTCCTCCGGGAGAGCCTTGGCGGGGCTGGGCCAGAGCAAACCCCAGCAGAAACATGAACAATTTGGCCCAGTGTGTGCAGTACATAAATATTCCATACAGTGGGTAAATGGAGTCCATCATGCAGCTGAAAAAGCACTTCTGTGAAGGCACAGACGCGTTTCGTTCCGCCTTGGCTCTCACCGCTCGGCAACTATGCAGGACGTGAAGAAGTTCTGAGTGATTACACTCCAAGAAGGGCTGAAGGATGCCATGCTTTAAAACTTGGCAAAACCAGAACTTTGAAACGTATCTCAACACAGTGGGCAGTGGACAGCTACCTTCTGATAAGCCTCTTGCAAAGAAAAGGAAATAATGTGAATTAACCGGGTATTTCCCATCGGGACCGGCCCTTCCCTCTGGCAATAGTGCCATCTAGCCGCTAACAGGCTGTACTGAGAGGTACCCACGGCACCTGGGCTGCCACCAGAGCACTTGCACACCAAAGAGATTGTGGTTTATTCAGCTGGTGGAATTTATTCACGGATTTCTCACAGGATGTGGCCCATACCCTGTTCTGATCCGAGGGGTAAGCACCTGTTGACGTAACAAGATGGAACAGATCACCTGAAGAACAGCCCCTATTTATATTTATATTCAGACAGAAAATATCACAATAGAAGTTTTTTTTCTTTTGTGGCAAAGACAAACTAAAAAAAACCTAAAAAACCCTTTAAAATCATCCTTTCTTTCATTTTGTTTGAGTACAGTGATGGATTTGCAATGGCATTGGAGGAAAAGTCAATTGTTCTGAGTGCTCCAGTTTTAATATTTAATGGGGTGCTGACTCTGTTCCTTGAAGAGATAGTTGTTTTTTTTTTTTTCCTATTAGGAAACAAGAAAAAAAAAGTTCAGGAAAGAAATAAAAATATAATTAAGCACCATCTAGATTTATCTGGATGGTTCATTTCCTTATGAGTTACCTATCATGGCAAAGATCCATCTCTGCATCCTCAGGTGGGTGGGCCTCTGAGCTGTGGAAACCTGGAAACACACTGCACTTGGACAGCACTTCTGTGTTTCCCTGTGAATTAAACCACAGCCAGTTTGCTCAGGTCACGAGGATTTCAGGTATTTAATTATATTTTCCCACAGGAGAACACCTCCTCCAAGCAGGTGTTTCTAACCACCAGCCATGCCAGCTCAGCCTGCACTTGGGGAGCAAAGTAAGAGACTTCCTTTCTTCTGCATTCTGGTTTTGTAACTCCTAGCGCTGAAATTCAGGCTCTTCAATGTGGTTGCACCTGGGCAGCCCCAATGATCTCACTGGACTTGCAATAATTGACTGGAATTTAGCAAAAGATGCCCAGGGAAGAGCAGAATCCAGGACTCCTCTCTCCTGGCTTCCTGAGGTCTTGCACAGCTAGCAACAGCAAAAGTCTGTAAAATCGTATTTCCAGTGACAAAACCCAGAAGTTCACCCCTAAGTATGCCCAGGAAGCATCAAACAAGTAACGCTTTTTAACAACTGCACTATTCTCAGCAGGTTTCTACTTTAATTTCTGCTTTAACACAAAAGCTTTATTTTTGTGTAAAACCTGTGCTGTCCAAATAAGCATCTAGAAATATTTCACAAACAGCTCTCCTTTATTTGTATGACCCCCAAAACATTGCCCGTGCATTGCAGACTCAAGACAAGGAATGAAACGAGCTTTTGGTTTAAAACACACTAAAATGGGTTTAAAACCCATTACAAGCCTTATTAGGTCAAACTTACAGATGTTATTCTTCCCCTGAAAATGAGATTGAAAAAAACCCAACAAACAAAAACAAACAAACAAACAAAACCCGAAAAAAACCAAACAAAGCAAAACAAAAAACCAAGGAAAATTCGAAAACTAGAGAAGCTGTGGCTGCCCCATCCCTGGCAGTGTCCCAGGCCAGGTTGGGTGGGGCTCTGAGCAACCTGGGATAGTGGAAGGTGTCCCTGCCCATGGCAGGGGGTTGGAACAAGATGATATATATATATATAAAAAATATATATATATATAATTTCACATACATATTCATGCAATGAGTACCTTGATAAAAACTAGCTCTGGTTACAAATGCACTGCAGTTTCTTCAGAAATAAAAATGGTTCCTTTCTCCTCTGTGTCTAAAAATTATTTTGCTGTTCATGCTCACCTTAATGCATCCAGTGCACTGTGCCATATTGCAGTTGTTATTGTGAAAATGGCATTAAGGTGCTTAGTCTTTATATCACTGTTTAATATCAAGTTCTTGATATTTACATATGGTTCAAGGGAAAACTGGCAGCACTTAGTTTTTTACAATGACAGTTTAACATATGGCTTTACAAGTATGAATTATTTATGTAAACTTGGAGCCATTCAGAATATTACCAGAAAAACACTATAATTTACACAAACAATAGGGTTACATCTGTAGTCATAAATATTCATTGTTTATCAATGCTCTTTGTAGATGATTAATAAATCATACTGAGTCTGATCCTGAGAAGGCAAAGGGCCAGACATACAAATACATCTGGTGGGATTTCCAAAGGGACTGACAGTTCTACTCAGGTCTGTTGGTAGTGGAATGTCACAAATTAAGCTCAGGGCATGAAAGGATACCCTGTCACCCCCTCCATTCTGGGGTTTTTGTGTAACTCCTGAACTTTCTCAAAGAACATGAAGAAATGCCACACATAGATCTAAAATATGCTGAAGTAAATATAGTCAGGCATAAAGAGAACAGTTTCTGAACCATACACGTGCCTGCCTTCCTTTGCAAGGCTAAATTAATTTAATAGGCTTTGGTCTTGACTGGACATCGACCTACCAGGCAAGATGAGTTTCAAAGAGCTGCTGTAGAAAAATAAAAATTATCAGCAATAGCCACTACCTTCCACCTGGATTTTCAACCACTTTGTACCCTGAAATCCAGAGCACCATCACTGTAATAGTCAGTCTGGTTTCACACTTTCTCATGTAAACTGTGAACATCTGATGGAGAAGTTAATGGAACAATAAATAAATGCAGCCCATTTTAAAACAATTTATCCACTGTAATTTTTTAACAAAATAATTACCTTTTACTAGTTCCCATAATTCAGCAACATTTTAATAACTGGAAGTGATGTAATTTAAGAGTTTCTCTCTGTAAATTATTTTAAGCATAGGACTATCATCTCTGTGTAAGTCCTTTTTAAAACTTCTGGTTACACAGCCACCCAGCTACTTGCAGTAGCTCTCCCTAAAATACAAGTTCCAAAGTCATGTAATCTTTTGTTACTTCAAACCTATTTGTCTCAGGTAGACAACAGTTTACATGAATTTTGTCTTTAAAATCACTCATTCAGTCACCATTATACACTTTAATATAAGCACCTTGGTCTCAGTGGAACCAAGGCAATCGGTAATTTTACAGTTTGAAAAGCTCAAATTGCAATTCTTCATGTGGGAATCTCGTAGCAACATTTAATAGTCACGTTGCTTTTCCAAGCTGCATGTATTAGTTCCCTTATCATGAAGGGAATTTAAAAATTTAACTGAGCATGTGATTCCAGTTCTGGAAGAGATGAATTTAGTGCTATGCTTTAGTGCTAAGAGGTCCTTTCTGTGTTCCCTTGGAGCTTGTCTGCCCCAGTCCTGTGTCAGTGTCCTAGCTGGAACAATCTAGGCTGAACATCTTGCCTCCTGTGAAATCAGTCACAGAATTCCTAGGAAAGCAAAATCCCAC